CACTGGGCCTGCCTGAGATTACATCAACACCTTTAAGTCCAGACCAAAGCAGGGCAGGCTTCTAAGGTGAGGGAGCAAAAAGACACAGCTGAAAGATTCTCACCTGCACCTCAGCCTTCTGAAAGCACTGACAATAACAGCAGCAACTCTCTGGCTTGGCTAAGAAATTGAAAACTGGTTTAAAAAGAAATCACAAGGGGCTGGGGATTTAGCTCAGCGGCACAGAGTCTGCCTAGCAAGTGTGAGGTCATGAGTTTGATTCCCAGTACCAGAAAAAAAACAAAAAATAATTAAAAAAAAAAAGAAATCACAAAAAAATAAAAAAGTAAAAGAAATCACATAACTACTAATGTGTCCCAAAGATCTGTAAATCAATACATCTAAAATAGACTCAGTGAAAGTCATTCTCTTTCTGACTTAAGGAATCTGAGCTTCCACAGGGACAATGGATAACATTACCCTGATAGGATGGATATTTTATTTCAACACTCACAATGTGAAATTCAAATCTCCTAGGGCATAAACATGCTTTTAAGACTTTTAATGCTAGAGAAATAACAGACATTCCACCAGTTCTCTCTTATTTGATCAATTATATTTACCTTATACCTATCATTTAAGAGGTGCTTGTTCCTGTGGCTCTATAAATCCTATGTTACATTCATTTGATCTATATCTTAGGACAGATGGTAAGTACATTATTCCCAGTCAATGCTGAAAAAACTAAAGCATGCGAGAGTTTGTCTTAGTGTACAGTAAAAACATAGAATAATAGCTCCCACCTTACCCAGTGCTCAGAGGGGCAACTGCCCCCAAGTACTTTTGTGCAAGCAGTCTGATCATGGCAACTCAGCTGTGGTCACCGCCTTTACCTCTAACATTTTTATCCAATAAGGATTAACTTATTAACCCCCTTAAAAAAAGTGGTCTAAGGAGAAATGTGATTGACAACTGAACTCCTTCCCAAGTACATATGCAGACAAGGATATGCAAATATGCCTTGTACTGAAAGACAAATGTGATGTGATTTGTTAATGATACAGTAGAACAGATGTAGCCTCCTAATAATCACTTTTATGCCACTGAGGACATTTTTTCTTTTGTCTTTTTGAGACAGGGTTTCGCTATGCAATTCAGGCTGGTCTTGAACTCATTTTATAGCCCAGGCTGGCCTCAAAGTCGCAGTGATCCTCCTGCCTCAGCCTTCTGAGTGCTGGGATTACATGCATGTACCACCACTCCTAGTGGAAATTTCATATACTTGTAAGATTTAATAATTTTTCTGCCTTTCCTATCTATAGCAACTCAAAGAGAGAAAAGAATATTAGGGAAAAATCTCATTATACAAATACTGGCAACAAAAACAATCAAGAGTGACACTCTAAAACACTTCCTGGGGTCAGGGATATAGCTCAGTGGCACAAGCACCCGCCTGGTAAGTGCAAGGTCCTGAGTTCGATTCCTAGTACCAAAAAAACAAAATGAAACAAAACAAAACAAAAAAAAAACAATTCCTGTAACATCAAACATGCTACCTGTTCCCCACACCAGCACATCAGTCTGCACTACACCAGGTCACAGCAGAGGAGGACAACTGAGTATAGAGGGAAACAATGTTAACTCCTAAAGCTATAAACTTTATAAAGGAATAACAGAACTGCCTTCATGTAATAAAGTCTTAAAAAGCAACTATATTTTACAGTGATTACCTAATAATGAATGACACCATGGTTGAGGCTAGGGGCCTCCTTTTATACTTTTTATCTCTCTATAATGCTTGAATTTCTAACCACAGTCAGGTGATTAACTTTCTTGTTGAAAAAAATGCTGATAAAAGCTGGGCATGGTAATTCACGTTTGCAATCTCAGCATTCTGGGAGGCTGTGGCAGGACAATCACAAGTTCAAGCCCAGCCTGGGCTACTTAGGAGATCCTGTCTCTCTCAAAATTTAAAAAAAAAAAAATTGTTTTAAAGGGCTAGGGATGTAACTCAGTATAAAGACCCTGGGTTCCAACCCCAGTATATACAGGATAGGGGTAAAAATGACAATGCAATGAATAATTAAGTCATTTTAAAGCCAAGGGTAAGTATGCTATTCTATAAAAAGTCTTTAAAATACTATGGATTCTGAGAGAATTTAGATGTTAAAGAAAAGCAGACATACCTGAGAAATAACCCCAACATTCATCTTTACTTAAATATCTAATAAAGGAAATGATATTTTTATCAAAGGCAAATTATATTTCCACAGGCATCAAGAAAGGAAGCATGACCTTCCTACTGCTTGACTGCTCAACCCCCACTTCTCTGCACTAGATAAAGACTGACTCCCACGTTGTTCTTATGTGTACCTAACTTCAGATCCACCATCAGGCTTACATTACTTAAGCACTATAGCTCTTACATCTGTGTCTCACTGGTCTTTTACAAGATAAGAAAGTATATCTTACAAGCTATACAGAGCTGCATGTTGCCAATATATTCAAAACAACATGAACAAGTACACCCAGGAGACCTCAAATTCACTGGATGACTCAATACTTGGAAAGGCCAATAGCGGGTCATTTTCTCCCCACAGGGTGTTGTTTTCCATCCTGAAGATAGAGCAGCTTGCTCCAAGAAGCACAAGTGTTTCCCAAGTAGCTGGGAGGCACAAGGGTAAAGGCTGGAAAACAAAGTCGGAGGACAGCCAAGGACTGGTCAGTAAACATGACACAACTTCATGTACCCTGTACAGGAAACCCAGCTGGCTTATACCTCTCACACCAAGTTAGCATAATAATTATCTATTTTTTCAGGATGTCTGCTGCTTTTAGGGTTAATCATTTATTACACGGACTTTTCAATGATCAAGAGATGTAGGGTCAGACCAAAAATCAACAGCCATCAGTGACTTTATTTTTCGTCCCCCACTGTGGCAGTTTCCTGCCAGTCAGCTCACGCCTTTTCAATCCAAGCTAGAGAAGGCAGCTTTCCAAATGTCACCAAACAGTGATGGATGTGAAGAAAGAATGGGCAAGCATGTTTTACTAACAATGAACCCATGCAGGAAGGGGCACAGAGCTTTCATGTCTGGAATCAGTGGATCAGTCTGCTTCAGCAACAGATAAGCCTATATATAGAAAGAGAGAAAGAGGCCTGTGCAGGACCAAGAGGAACAGCACCACACACAAGCTCTCACTTGGGTTTGGTGTTGTGCTAGGGCGCTGGCCAAATCAAACTAAACTAATGCAGCTCCTAATTTGCCTTAAAAAAAAAAAAAAAAAGTGAAAAAAGAAAGTGTATATTGGTACAGTGAAAGCTGAACAAAGAGCACGAAGAGTGGAGAGGTAAGTGGAAAACAGTCCAGCATTATTTAGTGAAGCTCCAACTCTATACCCTGTGAAAAGCAATTCCACCCTTACATACAAATACAACATAAAGCTGCACAAGAATACCCAGTGTCCTCGTAAAAATATTTAATCATTACCGCTTGTGTTAACAAAGCAACAACCTAAACGTTCACCAAGAAGAGAATTTAATACATTCATTCATACATATAATACTATCCATTAATGAAAGTATTTAAAACTAGAGCCACGATACAACATAGATGATTCTCACAAGTTTGAGTTAAAAAAAAAAACTAAAATAAGTCGGTGTACATATAGTAGACAGCATTTCTACAAACTTCAAAGCATTCATAACTAAAAAAATGTATTGTTTACAGCTCGTGTCAGCAGCATATATACTCAAAAAATATTGTTTAGAGATGCAAATACGTAGCAAAACTATAGTCAAAAAGAAGACAAGGAAAATGATAAACACAATTCAAGAGAGTGTCACCTTTCTAGGGGGAACAGGGGACGTGGGCTAGGAAGGGGCACCCTGTAGACTTCCACTTAAGAGATAACGTTCTACTTCTTAGGCTGAGTGACAATAAAGATATTTTTGTCATCATATTGCATATCCTATCTGTGTATATTATTCAAAATAAGAGAAGAAAAATAGAGTTGAGGTTGGAAACCCACAGTGCCCCCTAACTCTGGCTTATACATCCATCTGCCCACCACTAGCCTAGCTGATTTAAGCAGAGTCCAAGGGTTCAGGGCAACAAAATCCACTCAGTTTACAGGTGACAAAAAGAACACCTCTAGGCACTTCTCTGGGCTTACTGGGTGGAACCAGCTCCACAGGCTGTCTGTTCACAGGACAGGCTGTAAGACACTGCACACTGTCCCAAAGAGCTGGAGAAAGCCTTGCCAGCACAGAAACAGAAAATATCCCCAGACCCAGGCATATTTTGCAGATAGAAGGCAAGTCCCCAGATGGTTCCAACAGACAGAATGGACTGAATTTAGGAACAAGGCAGTCATTTTATGGAGCCCTGCTGGGCTGAGAGACTGTGATCAGTTCCTAGAGGAAAGCAGGGAGTGAAAAATATACTTGAGAACACACTCAGGACTAAGCACAGTCCTGGAAGAACGTGTGTGATGTGAAACACAGAAGAACGTGTCACTGGACGCTTACTAAAAGCACCAAGGGTTACTCTATATGGGCTTTACCTAGAAGTGATAACTGAGTTTGGCAAATGCTGAGCACATTGGGAAATAATATCAAAAGCCATCTACCACATCTGTGTAACATATGTACAGCCCACGGGCGCCGGCAAGGCAAGAAAGAGAGTGACTTATTCGGGGAAACCGACTGTCAGGAAGGCCGGATTCGGTCAGACCTGGCGAGGGAAGGCCCTGCGCAGGGTCCAGAAAGCCTGGCCCGCTCCAGCGAAGGGAAGGGATGGTCTGGGCCAGGCAGAGGTGGGGTTGCCGGGCGAGGGCAGGTCCCTGCAATAGGAACCCTAAGAGCCCAGGCTGACGCCAGGCCCGGCCGCTGGACAGCCAAGGAAGTCAGGGGGTGGGGGCCGTCCCCCTGGCGATGGGACCGGAGGGAGGGGAGACAGGCGGGTGCTTGTCACAGACCTAGCCCCGCGCCCTCCCCGGGCCCCTCCCCCGCCACGCACCTGGGGACGCAGCTGGACGAGCTCCGGTCCACCTCCCAGGTGGCGTACAGGTTCATCTGCACCGGGGCGGGGGTGCGGCCTGGCCCCGCGGCGCCGGGAGGAGCGGGGCCCGAGGCCACCGCGACGGCCATGGAGGTGGAGGTGGACGAGGACGAGGAGGAAGCCACCGCTGCCGAAGTGGACGAGGACGACGAGGTGGCCTGGGCCAGCTTGGGGGGCGTCGGCTGCTGCGGCGTCGGCTGCTGAGACGAAGGCGGCTGCTGGGGGGACTGGGCGGCCCCGGAGCCCCGCTGACCGCCGCTGCCCCCGGGCCCTCCGGGACCA